TTTCACTTTTTCACTGCTACACTTTTTGTGCCCCTTTGCCCATTCCTTGTAGGTGGTCCGTACCGGAGAAAAGTTCCGCGCACTAATCTGTTGCCGCGCGTTTCGCATTTTAAGTATCTTTTCCCTGATGCACGGCGTGTGTGCAGCACGGTGGACGTGAGCTGCGTCGTGTGCCTCCTCTTTTTTTTTTTTTTTTTTTTAACACTTGGCCTGCGCCATGGGGACAGGAAACATCACCCGTTTCGATGGCCACTCAGTGTACCTCGTAATGTGTACGTGTTATACACGTGTACCCATTTTCAATGCACGTGCAACGGATAAGCTGAGTAGTCCGTGGTGTCTGCAACTAGACTGACCATGCGTGCTACTTCAAAGACGTAAAGCGGAAGAAAAAAAAAAGAATAATAAAGAAGAGAGAGAAAAAAAAAAGAACAGCCATTTTACGCAAGTGTGTCCACGAAGACGTGTGTGCATTTATGTACCTGTGTGTTGCTAAGTGTATACATAAAACCCTTTTACTATAATGCGACATAACGCCACTAATTTCTTTTGCCCAGAGAGCGTAAAAGGGCATATAACTCCCACAACACGTGAAGGCTCCCCTCCTCGGAGAAGCCACCAGGCCTCCTGTTACGTGTATTGTTTTAAAAGAGATTAACAGGTTTTTTTTTTTGTTGTTTTATGCGCTTAACGGTGTGTGTGTGCGTCGTGCGCGCTCGATTTTAGTGCCGATCAAAATATAGACCACACTGCCAATCGCAGTTACAATCACCACCACAATGACAAGCAGTATTACGCATGCGTCCTACTTGAGCTCCCCACACACCCGTGCGATGCGCAACAGTTCGTCCCCTAGCATAGCCCAGTTGGCTCAAAGCACTACTATCTGCGCAGTTCATGGGGTGTTTACTTTAGCTTTTTCCTAAGCATCCCATGGGAGACGCCTCACGCAAGGGGGACTTGTGATAGTTCTTCCCCTGTTTTCACCTCCATATGTCGTAAAAAAAAATTAATGAGGTCCTCCTCCGTCTCCTCATCTCTGTCGTGTATGTTGTTACTCACTTTGTGCACTTTTAAAGTGATAATTTTTTTTTTTTTTCCAGACAGCTTTACGAGCGTTTTTTTTTTTTTTTCATTGGTCATAATTTCTTTTTGCAGCTAAATAAATATTGTTGTACTTCTTAACCATGACGCACTTGTTTTATAATTTGTTATACGAAATGGTTAACCTGATGGTGTGGTCATTTTCGCTTTGTTCCCTGCGTTGAATCATTTGGGTTTTTCCTCTTGTGTGTCGTTTTCCTCATATCACTCATGTGGGTGGCGCAGCTTCCCCCCCAGTTTGCAGATGAACCGTTGTGTGGGCAAGTAGGGATGTGGTCCGTTCTTGCACTTCCGTTGACGGGGGCAACTTTCTGTATTCCTCCCCCGGGTGACTCGAAGGGCGTGTTTGTTGGTAGCCTCACGGGGGTCACCCCGCTCGTCATCCCACTTACTATGTCGTTTGTCAGCTTCTTCCTCTTGGCCCATGTGGGTGAACAGCATTGTTGGCGTCCCCCCCATTGGCCCGTTTTGCATTGTCCCCGTGGCACACTCTCCTTCATGGAGCTGTTCGGCGAGGCAAAATTACCCAACTGAGTCGCGCTGCTCTTTTCATTTGTGTGTTCCGAGAGTCTATGTGTTGTGGAGCTGCCTCTCTCACTATGAGACACACCCACCTCGTAGAAGACTCGATCGTTTTTCATTTGTTCTACCCCCCGACCATCCTGCTGGTGAACTGTCCGTTGCGCACTTGGCTCGTTCCCTTCGTGTGCATTTCTCCTTGCCCGCTTTCTCCTCTTCTGTTGCTTTATCGGGATCAACAAGAGGCAGTGGTCACTGAGCAAATTGTATTGTGCCTTGGGGGAAGAGGTGCCTTTATTTTTTTTAAGATGAAGAATTATTGCATTGCTGATATGAACAAAGTTGGAGAGCAATTCCTCCACGGAGTCTACCTTCAAGTTGTTTGTTATTTCGTACGTCTTTATTGGCTCCCTGTCCTCTTCTTCCTGTTCCTCCTCTTGCTGCCCTGCTGTTGCTTCTTTTTTTTCATTGTGGCTTTCCTTTAGGAGGCTGCGTCTGCTATACGCCCTGTTCATCCTGCACGACTCACACTTGTCATTGAAAATCAAATTGGGCAGAGCTTTCTCCACGTGGGTATCACCCCTCTTATTACGAGCGTTATTAGTAGCGCAATTACGACCGTTATTAGAAGCGTTATTACGAGCGTTATTAGAAGCGTTATTAGAAGTGATTATGCTTTCCCTTTTTCCTTCTTCCCCTCTTGGGTTCGCCCCGCTTGTAATTCTTCTACTCGGTAAAGTGCATCTGTTAGGGGGTCCATCTGTCGTGCCCTTTGGGGGGGCAGTCCCCTGTGCCTCTATCCTTTGTTTGCTTCTCCCTTCCGTGGGGCAAGCAGACGATTCGAATTGACGATGGACACACTGGGTCGCTTGCACTTCTGAACCGCTTCTCCAGTTGGTCCATGTAGCGGACTCGATGGGGATCCTTCTCCCGTCCGTCACCTCCCCCCTCGCACAGATCTGCGCTGTCTTCTTCGTACCCTGCTTCAGGGGGGCTCCCTCGAATTTTTGTGCGTTTTCTGTATTGAAGTTATATTTCGCCTCTCCCTGTGTGCACTCCTGTCGTTTCCTTTTCCGTCCCGCTTTCCCCCTCTCTCCATTGTTGCTGTCCTCATTATACGATTCACCACTTCTACTTGATCCATTGGCTCCACTTTTCTCTTCACTCAACTGTCTTTGTTCAATCGTTCCATCTCCACTCTCACAGGTGGAGGAATTCTGCATGGAGTAGGTCCCATTTAGAAGCTGAGTGAAGGTCCCGCTGCTCTGTCCATATGTCTTATGAATCTTTAGCGCCTCTTCAAAAACACCAAATTCATATGAGAGTTTCCACAACATATGAATGTTGAAAAATGGAAGGTTCGAAATACACTCAGGAGGTTTTAATTTGTGAGCCAAAATATTTTTGCACGTGGAGGTTTTTTCCTTGTACACTCTCCGTATGAGTTCTAACAGACACCTCCTTCCTTTGGCTCCCAGCTGCATGCAAAACCCGGGGTAGTACTGTAGCCCCTCTACATTTTGTCCCTTCTGCGCGGCGTGCCCCTGTTTAGCGGCTGCTGCATGTTTAGCGGCTGTTACATGTTTAGCGGCTGCTACATGTTTAGCGGCCTGCCCAGTCAGCTCTTCCCCTTTTGGCTGTTCCGCTTCCTTCCCACCATCAGTTGGGTGTGCTTTCTCTCCAGTGCGCTGTCCCTGCAGGGGGGGAGGAGAAGCATATGCGTGCGTGTGGGCGCGTAAGCAGGTCTGTGCGATCACTTGGCCGACCGTCGTGCCACCGCTTATCCCCCCACCTCATTCGTGCGTGCCTTCCGCTGGAGCGAAATGCGCATTATAATATCCAGGAGGTTCTTAGAATGGCGAAAGGTCTCTTGGCTCCACCGTTGGTAGTTGGCATGGCCGGCCACGTAATTCTTGCTCTGGTCTATAATGTAATTCAGAGCCGGTATTGGTACATTCAAATTGAGGAAGAGGTTCTTGTTCAGCTTGGGTGCGTCCCCTGTCCCGGCATAGTACCGCTACAATATAAGGAGTGGACATGTTGAAGAGAGAAATGGAGTGGACCGCATCACATGGAATGACTTTTATAAGTCTGTGCACAAATCTTAACATGGACAAAAGACGTACTGAGTGGCAGGGGGGGGGTGAAGTTGTGTGCAGACTTACGCTAAGGCTTCTCGTACTTTCCTCCAGGCCATTTTCCATAAGGTTGAATTTTAAAATCCCATCAACCATTTTTCCGTATGTGTGTGGGGGTATTATATGCACACGAGTGGCCACTTAATCGCAACAGGCGATTGTGTAGAGACGCGGAAGGACAACTAAAGAGCGGTGTGAAGAAAACATACACCCTTTTGTACCTGTGCAAACCCGCTTGGGGAAAAAAAAAAAAAAAAAAAAAAAAACTCGACAAAGGCAGGACTCCGTCACTTCAGGGGGGGACGGTGCATACATAAGACAGACACACCTGTTCGAGTATACACGTACAGGCACTTCCTTTACATTGGTGCATTTTCTTCAACCTTGCCCTCTTCAGTGGACCTGTTTTTCATTTGACGTGCTTTGTTTTTTTGTTCTACATATATATATATATGTATATATATGTATGTATATATATTTTTTTTCTGTGGAGCGAAGATGGGAGAGGAACTACACGAGTGGGCGACCTGCTCACTTCGCTCGAGTCGGCCAAGGGGACATGCAGCTGCTGATGGGGAGGGAGGGGAGTGGCAAACGGACGGTGGCAAACGAACGAGTACGCACACGTTCGGGGTAGCTACTCGGGGGAGGCGACGGAAAAAAGGGGGCGACAGAGGTCGAGTCAAATTATGCACAACACGAAACTGTAGTTAGCAGTGGGGAGGCAGCATTGAAGTGTCGTGGCAACTGCCCGTTAGACACGTATCAGTAGGACGAAGAGTGGAAGAGGCAGCTACGGAGAGGAGCCCCTGTCTGGGGGACCTTCGTAGAAGGACAATTCAAGATGGGGAAGGTGTAGAAGAAGTTAAAAGGTGGAGGAAGAAAAAAAAAAAAAAAAAAAAAAAAATTAAATGAAAAGGGTGAATATTGCGACGTCATTGGAAGAGGCAAACGTTATGTGCATGTGGTGGAGTGTAATCATGTTGGGGCGAATGGCTCAGTTGGGGGGGAGAAATTGAAGCAGCATCAGCACGAGAGGCGGCTAGGTGGTTATGCGGCTATGTGGTTGCGCGGTTGCGCGGCGGGGTGACACTTATGGAAGACAAGACGCGCCCCTAATGGAGGACAAACTCTGTCGCGCGAGAAGCACGCACTTGTTGTTGCGCTGCGCGAAGGACAAACCACTCCACCGCCCTTCCACGCGGCATGAAGTTCGGCTGAGCTAACTTGACAAATGCTAGGGAAAAAAAAATTCAAACCTTCGGAGGACCTCGCTGCAGAATCGAGCAAAGGGTGGGTAGATGAAGGCGTGGTCCCAGCGGGATAAAAAAAAATAATTATATGGCGCGAAAAAGGGAAAAAAAAAAAAAAAAAAAAAAAAATTGCAAGGTGAGACTCGGGATTAATTAGCAGCGCGCCGATGGCATGACAGCACGACAGCATGGCGGCATGACAACATGGCGGCGCGAGAACAAATAGGGCAAGTAAAGACAAACATACAAACGAACCCTAGAGGGGGCACAAACAGAAAAGACACACCCAGGTGCACACGTTGGCATGTCTACCAAGCGCTCTCGTTGAAAAAAGGAAAGGTGGTACAAAACACACAAGACAGTCGGCACGTTGCTAAGTACACACATGATGGAGAACAAGCGGATGCATCACGTGATGCATGCTTTGGAAAAAATATGAACATGTGCAGGTAAATTTAAGCATTCGCCTTAACACAGAATAGAATGCGATTTTCTGAAGAGGACATACTTAGGGGGTTGTTACGACGTTCGAAGGAATACTTTATTTTAACTCTATTAAGCAGTGGGGGGGGAAGTGATAAAATAAAAAATAATTGAAAGCAAAATGTGATTGTAGGTGCGACAGGAGACAAAAATGTTTTTCCTTTACACCTCATGGTTAATTGTTTTTCGTCTCGGTTTGCACCTGCATGGGGTTTAACTCGGTACGTTTGATGTGTCTGCTCTACCGGTTCGAGTGATCGGTTTGGCTTTACTGCTTTAGTTACGGGATTTACTTTAGCTGCTTCCTTGGACGTTCCTCTCCCTTTTTCATTTTTGCACAAAGGTGAGAAAAGCCAAGTTTGCTTTTATCGCCACGCGCAGGGGACACTACCGTGGGGGGGGGATACGAATGTACGAAATGAAAAAAAAGGGGAGCCCCACTCCAGGGACAGAACCTCATGTCAGAAGTCACAGGTGCAAGTTCGGGGGTTCTTTTTTTCTTCCCAGGAAGGGGTAAAATGGAGGTAGTGTGGCAACCACATGCTAGTAGGGGTCTCCTCTGTGTAGTTGAGATGTGTGTGGGGGGGAGCGGGAGAAGATTTGTTAACCTTTTTTCCCCTTTTCTCTTTTTTAGCTTTGTTCCCTTTTATAAAGGCCGGGACAGGTGTGTTCGCCTGCCCCAAAGCCCTGAGGCCTGTTCGCGTTGCTGCTCCCTCACAGGGATCTGCCTTTTACAAGCAGCCGCAACCAGAGGGAGATGTGCAGGTGGCACACCCCAAAATGGTGTTGTTAACGCGATGGAGGAATATCACTCAAAGGGGAGAGTTTTCGAGCGAGCAAGCGAACGCCACCGAAGGAACTCGAACAGGAACATCGTCTTGGTAGAGATGCTTACAACAAGTTGGCCCACACATTTGCAAGGGCGACTTTAAAAGGAAGTGTACACTATCACAGAAAAGTTTTGAAGGAAAAAAAAAAAAAAAAAAAAAATTAAAATAACACATGTAGAATTACAAATTTCTCTGCTGACCTCATGTGCAACAATGAATTAAAAAAAAAAAAAAAAAAACTTTGAAGACTTGAGGAAAACCTCCACAACAAAATAACAGCGCAACTCAGCAAAAACACTTAATCATGGGACGATGAGGCAACAGAACAGAGACTAAGGGCTCGACTGGCATTGGGGGAAAAGCGGCCACGAAGAAACATGCATGTGTCCTCCTCAGAATGCGACGACGTGTAATACATTGTGGTGAAGTGCCTCTCTCACTGCAGTTGCGTTCGACTTTTTTTTTAATTTCGCACCAAGGCGCACTCTGTAAACGTGCATGTGGGGAGGTATGCAAAAACTCTTGCCGAGGGAACACATGCGCAGGGCGGAGGGTTTGCACATATGACAACGCTGATTCGCCCCCATGCATGCCCCCCATGCGCTTTTTTTAAAAGCACATAATAGCGTCACGGAGGAATGGGCCCGAAGGATGCACTTCTATGGGGCGCCCACCACCACCACACACACAACCCCTCCGTCGTATGAATGAATATTAAGTGTAACGTTTGGAAGACATATGTGCTAAAGTCGACGTTTCGTGGTGATGTGATACATGGCTCCTCTCTTCCGCAGGTCATCGAGGGGACCACGCTTTTGCAGTGTTCTTCCTTTCACACCTCACATAGTGCCCCTGTTGTTGCGCCTGTTTGTGTATCACACTCCAACCAGGAGTTGCTCCTTTTTTTTTTTTTTTTTTTTTTTTTTAATGAATGGGAGGGTGATTCTCGTAGGCAGCACGACGATGTCGAACCCATTCGACGCGCCTACTAAGCGTCAGCGTGGGAGGAGCAATCGAGCCTCCAGAAAAGGGAAAAAAAAAAAACAAGAGGCGGAGGAAGAGGAAATTTTCTTTTTTCGTACATTCCGTATATGAACGCTCCTCCTTTGCATTCACCTGGGGGGTTGCCAAGTCATCACCTCTGACACCTGGTAGCAACACACGAGGCATGCGAGTAACATCAGAGGATGTGCAGAATTAAGTGCAGAGCCCATTTTTCCTTGTTCCCCTCGATTCAGTACTCGTCACGATGATGGGGAAAATAAAAAAAAAAAAAACAAAACAAGAAAAAAAAAGGAAAATGAAAAATAAAAAGAAAATTATTTTTGTATCTTTCACTTTTTTCATTTTTTCTTGTTCTTTTTCTTCCTTTTAACGGTTGCACAAGTGGAGGGGCAGAGCGGGAAAGTTCTGCATCACCGCGCAACGATTAGCAGGTCCCCAGAAGGAAGATGACCACCTCTCGTTTTTGTGGGTTTACTCTCCCCGCCCCCTCCACACACACCCCACACACACCCACCACACAACGCACTGTCTAATGATGCTAACTCCTTCGCATGTGTGCAGAGGTGTATATTAAAAAAGAAAAAAAAAATTAAAATAAAGGCCAGCTTCATCTTTTGTAAGCATATGGAAAAACTCAATTGCGCGCGAAAGGACAAACAGTCATTTCATGCAAACGCACATTCTTACGTTGGTGAGAGCATACACTTCAAGGGTGTGTGCATTCCCCATTTTCCCTTTTTTCTCACAAGAAGGGGGAAAAAAAAAAAAAGACTCAAAATAATCTATACATAGCATTAAACGGATAGGTTAAGTTTTTTTTTTTCTTTTTTTTTTGGCGAATGGGGTGGTGGTTCGGGCTGTACACATATACAGGTGGTTTGCTGACCCAGTTGGGTGTTGTAAGGGACGAAGCAAAATTTTTTTCCTTTTTGCCTGAACAGGTCAGGCGAAAGTTGCGGGGGGCATACACTGCCCTCTGCGTTTCTTCCCCTGGGGGATGTCCAAAAAAAAAAATAGGGCAGCAAGTGAGGTGGTAAAAAAAGGGTAGCGAACAACTTGGCGCAGTCCTCCGTGTGCCCCACCTCCCCAATGCAATGATCACTCTCCACCCTGGAACAAAAAAAATAAAAAAAAAAAAATGAGTAACCCCACGCGCGAAAGTGCTTTCTTCAGGAGACTTTATTCTGCCCTTACGAAACAAATACAAAACGGGAAAACAAGGAACACACGATCAGATTAAAAAATAATCATCATCCCCTTTCTTGTCCACGTAAAGAAGCCCGCTTGTCCACCCCGAGCGAGAAAAAAAAAAAAAAAAAAAAAAAAAAAATCCTGGAAAATAAAAAAAACATGGCACACATTTTCAAATCAGCTGCTCACACCGCTCAACTTGAAATTTCCTCTCCTCCTTAAATTGCACGAAAGCATCATCGTTATCACACCTTTCGCGTACCGCTTTACTCGTGAGAGAGCCCGAATTCGCTTGGTCACTAAGCTGTGCAAAAAGTCTGCCCTCGTTGCACACGGAGAGGTTTTTTTTTAATTTGTCTGTGTAAAAACGGAATTTTGCAAATCGCGAAAAAAAAAAAAAAAAAAAATTACACATACACATGCGCGCATACTTACGTGTACACCTTTGCGCGCATCGTCCCCTGCTTCCTTGCACGACTCTATTGACGTAACGAGATTTTGGCTGGGCCATGTAAGACTAGTGACAATTTGCTTGCTTTTCCTGTTCCGCATTCCCCCCCCGGACGTTCAGGGGAGAGCAAGACAGTCGAGTGACACTCCTATATTTCCCCTCTTGAGCAAAGACAATAGGCTTTGCACGCAAGGGAAAAGGAAAGGGGGGACAGGATTGAAAGTCTACCCCTTGTTAATATTCCCATGTGTACATTTTACACTTTTTTAATTTCCTCACGTGAATTCTAACGAGCGTTTTTATTATCACTATTTTTTTTTTTTTTTTTTTTTGTTGGCTAGCCACCGGTGCGTTCCTTCCCCCCTACGTCAGGCGAAAAAAAAAAAAAAAAAAAAAAAAAATGTAGCATGAGGCAACATGGATGAGGCGAAGCAGCCGTCGGATTTATGCAGCGGTGGGGGTAATGATGGAGGAAATGGTAGACAAGGCGGGGGCAGCTTCAACTTTGACTTTTCCTACGAGAGCATCCTGAACAACGACATTGTGAGGCCCCAGGAGATTGACTGCGGGATGTCCTGCGCCAGCTCCTTCTGTGAGGGCAATGAACGGGTCGCCCCTGGGGGTGATTACCTCATGGACTCTTCAGGTGACCCAGCGGGTCAACCAAAGTGTGCAAATTATGCTCCCCCCATGAGCGCGCGTAACACCAGTGCCTTTGATTTTTCATTCCAGAGGGACGCTGATGAGGGAGGGGCACTCCACAGCGACGGTGCACTCTGGGGGGGAGGACAGAAACGGGGCGCAGATGACGATGCAGTGTCGACATGCGTGGGGGAGGTCCATGCAGAGCAGCGGGATGACCCCGAGTGCGTGGAGCACCCCACAGTGAACGAGGAGCACTTGATCGGGTACGAAGGCTTCCTAATGAATGAAGCGTCTAAAGGGCAGGGACAGCACCACGCTGCTGCCCTACGGGGGGAAACGCTAGAGGAAGAAGACGGTAACACAAATGACGCACAGCCGTGTCATACGTTTACGCAAAAGAAAGAAGAAAGTACATCTAATCAGTTACCAGTTGGTGAAGAACGCACCCCCCCTAGGGTTTCATCCATCACAAACTCAAGAGGAACATACATAATAAGATCTCCCACCATAACCAGCACAGACAAACAAGGAGTGTCATGCAAATCGAGTCCCTCAATCAGCTCCACCCGAGCTAGCGATGTTAGTGAAGCAAATGAAATATATCGCTCGTTACAAACAGAAATTGCAGCATACAGGATGGAAATATTTCGCTTAAGGTCAGAGGTACAAGTTAAGAACAGTTACTTAAACAATGAAAGAAAGAAAAATGAAGAGTATAATAAAATGCTACAAAAATTTTTATTAGAACCAAGTAGCTGTTCACAGGGAGCAGGAGGAGGAGGAGGAGGAGGAGGAGAAGAAGAAGACAAGGGGATAGGATCACTAAACCTACTTGAGGTAGAAAATAAAAAGCTGAGACAAGAATTAGCTCTAAGGAGTAGTGAAATGATTGAATTAAACAACGCAGTAAACAATTTAAAAGGGCAAAAGGTCATTTTTATGAACTCATTACAAAACGAGTTGGAGATGTGCATGAGCAAAGAAGCAGAGTCATCACTCATGTTACATGCACAGACGAAGCGATTAGCCAACGCGAATAATTATATAAATAAACAAAATAAACAGATATCACAACTGAAAGAAGATTTAAATAAAATGGAAGAGACTTACATTTTACATGTACACAAAATGGAAAATCAGATCAAGCAATTGCTCGAAGAAAGAAATGAATTCATTTCTACTGTTAAACGGTTAGAAGTAATTAATGCAGACAATAAAAAAAACGAGGAGGAGTTATGCAAGTGTAAGAAAAAGTGTAAAGAGTTAACCGAAGAACTAAATGACCTTTTAAGAATTGTCACAGTGACCCGAGAAAAGAAAAGCAGTGCTAGCTTTACTGGCTTCTACCAAGATGGTCAAAATACCATTTCATCTTTTGCATCTCTTAAGGAGGAATTTCTTACTGGAAATAACCTCAAGGAGGAAAATTCAATTTTGGTTCAAAAAATTAAACACTTGATGGAGGAGAATGATTCTCTTAAAGAGGAAGCAGCACAACGGGTACAAGAACTGAACAGCCAATTACAAACTCACAAGGAAAGTATTAAAATGAAAAATGAAAATCATGCAGTACTGCTAGAGAGGTACAATCATTTAGAACAAGATTTTGAAAATGTACATCTGTTGTGCATGCAGTTGGAAGAAAGGTTCCGCGTTGAACAGAGCAATAATGTGCATGGAAATGGTAATGTGAGTAGTATAAAGGGGAGTGCCAACTGTGAGCAGCTTCTTAACAAAAGCAATTTCTCCCTGAGCGAATTAGAAATGAATCACAGTCAGGGGAGCGACATCCATATACAACACTACAAGATTTTCTGTTCCGAGTTGCAACTAGAAAATGAATCCTTGAAGAAGACAGTGGAGCGATTGAAGAGCAAGAACAGGAAACTCACAACGAGCATGGAGCTCCTCTTGCGCGATCTGGTCACGGCCGGGGGGAAACCGTCTGACGCAACGCAGGCAGCTGCGCAGGCCATACAAACGGAGAAGCGCCCCGTGGAGGCACCAACAGAACGGGGGACCCAAACGGAGAAGCACCTCATGGAGGGAACAGCTGCACAGGCGACCCAAACGGAGAAGCACCTCATGGAGGGAACAGCTGCACAGGCGACCCAAACGGAGAAGCA